GAGTTCAAAGAGGAAGAGATGAAGTACAGCTGTCTTTGATGGTTTCCCAGTTGATGAAATGGACTGCTATATGATTGCCAGTCCTTTTTCTTGCTTAAGCTTTCCTCCTTCTGAATATGCAAATCCAGTTGTGCAGGACAGTGGCTTTTATAGAGACTCCTTTTAGTTAATGACTGGTGTGTGAGCACTAATTTGTAAGTGGTAGTCTTAAGTGTCAGTTATTGAAAAGGGGACTGAATGCTTCAGTGAGTAGTGCAAGTCAAATTCTATGTGATTGCCATCAGCTACTGAGAAGTGGAGAAAATGTAAAGTCAATGCTAAAACCTTCAAATCTATCTCTTAAATAAAGGTAGAGGATATAGTTTGGATCCAGAGAAAGAAGTGGTGCTGGGGAGAATGGTCTGTGTCTTGCATCAGTGCTTGCTGGTTGTAGTTAATTCTAGAGAGCAGCAGTGGGATGGATTTGGCCACGAGGAGGCATTCAAAGTGTAGAGTTACTTGTGCAGGTGGTCTTAAACTTGGTAAAACTGAAAATTAAACAACTGCTGAAATGTATGTGTTAAGTCCTGTGAATTAAAGCAAAAATAGTTCAAATTAGTGAATGACAGACTGAAAATCTAGTCTGCTGAGACCATGCTGTGAATTTCCTTAGATTTCTTTTGTCACAGGGACAAACGATTCCACTCTTGGTTTCACAAGCAACCAAGACTTAATTAATGCTTGGAAATTGCTTTGAGATCCTTGGGTGAAAATCTATGAAGTTCTAATGATATTTGATTAAATGCAGAGCAAAGCAATGATTTTCTCAGAGAATGATTAGAGTTTGAACTTCTATCACAAGGAATCATTTTCTGCTCCAGAGGCGGGTGTGTTTTGATCAGCATTCTTGGTGACAAAGGCTCGTTTCGGTAGTGGGGATAAACAGACTAGGAGTGGCATTTGTGCTATGTGCTGTGTTGGTATAGAAATCTTCCATCCCAGTGAACGAGCAGGAACTCAGCTTACCTGGTATGTTTAGTCTTAGCTTAGGGCAAGCTCTGCAGTAAAAGCTTTAGGGACATTCACTACATCAGTTCTTTTCACACATGTGCAACCAGGTGCTACTCAGCTTGGTCAAGAGAACTGATGTAAAACCATTTGAAAAGTATGGGGGAAATGTAGGAATAAAGAAGACCTTCCTGATCTTCTGCTGTAAGCCAGGCTGCCCTCCTATTGTGCAGCATTGGATGGATATGGAGTGCCTTGCCAGTGGGGAGCAGGGTTCTGCAGATGTCCCTCTCCCTTCCCACACTGTCATGGTGATGCAGCGAGGTGTCCTGGGCTCTGGGGAAGCACAGGTTAACAGTGCTGGGGAGCCTGCTCTGCACTTGTCAGGGCTAGTCTCCTGCTGTTGCTACTTTCAGGGGAAACTCAGAAGAAACATGAGTTTTGGCTGGTGGCGTAGGCATTTCTCTTGCAACCCCACCTGGAAGAAGGAATTGATAGGATGTTTTAATCCAGGCTGACCCATCTCCTGGGGCTACTACTGATAGGAAATGTAGAGTGTAATGTTGGTTAAGAGTGAGTTGTTAAGGAGGGATGTTTGTGTAGAATCATGGTGTACAAATGAAGGTTGGGAAGGAGTTTTTTTCTGCACTCAGCCATCCAGAGGAATCTGAGTCCTTTCTAAAAGTGTTAGGTCTCCCGGCCCCAGATACAGTTCACCACAGCATCCCCTGAGCATTTCTTCACTGCTTTTTTCCTTTGACTCTGTGTGGTGATACACATTTTCTGTTTGTTTGGGACAGAGAGGAAGATCTTTGGCTGTTCTGAGAAAGGAGCTTTGATGGGGGAAAAAGAAATCTAATGTTTGTGTACAGAGTTGATTAATTTAAGGTTACAATGTGCCAAAACACCTTCTCAAGCCATCTGCCAAATCAGATCCATAACTTCAAGCAACATGGAATCAAAATTTACTTCTGACAGTCTTTTAAAATTCTGCCCAAAGAGGATTAGCCTTTCTTTCCAAAGCGATTAAAGGGGGAAAAAAAAGGAAGAAAAAAAAAAATAAACCCTCAACCAAAGCACTTAAGGCTATTACTACTAAAGATCGAGCTTCCATGAGTAAATGCTGGTGAGACTTTTGCAAGGATGAGTGAAGGCTATATAGATAAGAAACCAGTTACTAGTACTTTACCAGTAATTTTTACTAGTTAATAGCACTAGTACCAGTTACTACAACACCTTTCCTATGAGGACAGGCTGAGAGAGTTGAGGTTGTTCGACCTGGAGAAGAGAAGGCTCTGGGGAGACCTTATTGCAGCCTTCCAGTACTTAAAGGGGGCCTACAAGAAAGATGGGGATAGTGTTTTTAAGTAGGGTCTGTTGCAACAGGACAGGGGGTGATGGTTTTAAACTAAAAGAGGAGGAGATTCAGACTAGATTTAAGGAAGAAATTTTTTACAGTGAGGGTGGTGAGACACTGGCACAGGTTGCCCAGAGAGGTGGTAGATGCCCCATACTTGGAGACATTCAGGGTCAGGCTGGATGGGTCTCTGAGCAGCCTGATGTAGCTGAAGATGTCCCTGCTCACTGCAGGGAGGTTGGACTGGATGGTCTTAAAGTTCCCTTTGAACCCAAACTTTCTAGGATTTTCTTAATACCTGCTGTGTTAAGACTGTTTCTGTGGCTGCTGCTCTGGGAGGCGGTTCCATGGTGGTGTTCAGTCTCTGCCCCCATGATGCCAGTGAAGGAACTCAGAAGGTCACCTATGAAACTCCAGCAGTACTGATAGAAGAACCATTTTTTCCCATGGTTTCTTTTAGAGCATCCTTCCCAAAAGTTGTCACCATGATGGTAAAACCTCTTGTGTTTATATATCTTAACATTATCAACGGAGAAGTAATTTGACCAAAAGTAGCCCATATAGTTTAAATAGAAGATCTAATTGTCATTTATTTGCAAATACAGACTTTCTACTTAGTATATATTTCTTCTGAAAATAAGGAAAACATGTCTACTTTCAGATCAGTCAGTGATGGGAGGCAAGTAAGAAGGTTGGTATGTTAAAGAAGAACTTGTTTGTGACTTTTCTAAAAAAAAAAAAAGCTGCTTTTCTGGGGAGGACAACAAGCTGCAGTGGAAGAAGGAGGAGAGTACTGTGATGATAGGTCAAAACTCTAAGTTTCCAGTTTTACATAAGCTTAATTCACAGTAGCAGGAGCACCTTGTGAAATGAGGGATTAAAAATCAAAATGAAATGTTTTTTGTGTGAGAACATGACCTGTGGAGAGTGATGTATGCCAGATCCTGCTGAGGATAACTTGGCAACCTTGATCACCCTCCTGTCTGCAAAACCATTTGGCATCACAGGAGCGGGACAATACATGAATGCTGAAACAGCTGCAAATCAGACTGAAGGAGCAATCAAAGTGTGATAAACATTAATTACTATAATACCCAAACCTTTAATGGAGGAAGGAACGTTGATTACACTGTCTCTCTTGGGATTTCTTTCTGTCAGAGATGATGTACGACAAGTTTCTGATTACACTTACTCAGACATGAAGTAAGACTTTAAAAACTGCTTTAAGTATGGAGAAAGAAGAGCAGAAGGCAATCAAGTTGATCTTTCTTTCAGTGGTTGAACCTATTTGGCTTTTTATAAAAGCATTCACTTTTGCTTTTTTGCCTTTCAAACCTTTGAGGCAAATTGGCTTGGTGAACTGGCTTTGAATGCTTCCCTGGGTCACCGTAACCCATAAATGTCTTAGCAGCCTTTCCTTTGCCCTCTCCATTTCAATTCTGCAGTGTTGCCAGCTGCTGGGGCAGAGGCCCTGTGTGGGAGTGGGCACAGTGGGGCTTGGGCTTCTCACAGTCTGTCTCAGAGCTGGTCATTGCTGCATGAGGACTGAGCTGGGCACCACAGTGTGTAGCAACATCCACGTGCAGTAAGGCTGTTGGTAAAGCACACTCTAGTGCCTCATAAAATATTACCCTTGGTTTGCCAGCCAGAACATGCTTAGATATTCTAGCTTAGCTCTCTGGGCTTGCTTCAGCCTAAGTGGATTGTGCATCAAAGCCTTGAGTTACAGGTACCAGAGGCGATGCATTGATGTTTCCCCAACACTTCAGCAGCCTGAGGAGCCATAAAAGGCTGTGGCCTTTTTTCAAGAAGGTTCTTGGACAAATTAAAACTTGAAAAAGTTTGTAATGTTCTTCTCTGCAGCATACAGTAGAAGAGAGCAGTGATGTACCTGTGGGTGCCAGGAAAGGGCTCCATAGCCTCAGAAGAAAGATAAACATTTAGCTTCCTTAGCACCACCTTCTGCTGCTGCTTTCATTGTGGGGTGATGTCTTCCCTCCCATGGGAGTTTGTCTCTCCTCACCTCACCAGTGGTTCTTGCACTTTTGGAAACCCACTGCAACTTCTAGAGGTGTAGTGGTATCGTGCTGGTTTTGGCACCAGTGCTGTGGAAAGACAAATGGCAGCCAGCAGCGTTATCTTCCCTCATTACTCTGCTCCAGCACCAGCCTCTTGGAGAGTCTGGAGATGTAATAAAGTACAAGAACCATAAATGCCATCCCTTCTAATTCATGCCTTCTGCAGTAAGGGAGGAATTTAATAAAAGCACACTTTGTTAAGGAAAAAAAAAAAGAGAAGCTTGACTTTTAGGCAAAAAGCCAAGGTTTTATAGAACAAATTTACTGCATGTACCCTGAAGTTTAGAACGGCAATGCCAAGCATCCCCCTCCTATCTCTCAGGGCTGGAGCTTGAGCTGGGAGGAGACCAGAAGCCTGACTTGCTGTGATGTATGCAGTCCTCATTTAAGGCAAAAATAATTTAGTACTTCAGCTTCCTTCTCCTCCCGTGCAACTTCATTTCTCATTCTGCTCTGTAATGTTCTTTCTCCTTGGTTGATCGCTTACTTTTGTACTTGAGACATGAAACTGAAGTTCTTCGGTATTCTAGAGAGGTTTGCTCCCAGCCTCTGCTGCCTTGCCTTTCTTGTTCACCTTGATGTGGAGTTTGCCTCTTCTCTCTCCCACTTCTCAAATTCTGTCATCCCTGTCACTTTTGGGTGATGTGTACTCTCAGCATAGACAGCGAAGGGTCTCCTGCTGCTGTGCTGCTTGCTTCCAGCTTCTGTCTTGCCACCTTTGCCACTTTGTTCTCACCCACCTTTCTGGGAATCTGTCAGCCTGCCTTTAAACTTGCTCTGATTTTAAACTTTTTCCTGATGCTGTTTGATCCCTAGCAAATACAGGCTATAAAAACCACAGTTCTTTTTGACATTGTGGAGTGCTTGGAAACCCTCTTAGAAGTCTAGCATTATTGCCAGTGCTGACAACTGACAGGCAGTGTCCAGTATCCTGATTGCCAGATTCCTAATGCTTAAAATCTTTTTCCAATAGGAATAATTTTTCCCCCATGGGAAGACACAGATGGAGTGAAGGAACTCTTTCAGTAGCCAGGTGAATGTGAGATTTGTCAGAGGAGTTATATGGACATGATGGGATGTGATCTGCTCCATGGATACAGGTGGATACGGGGCCAGCGAGGGAGGCAGTGAGGTGGGAGGAAGTATTCCTGGGACCTACTGTGGTGTTGGAAAGAGTTCCCTCTGAAATGGAGAGGAGCTCAAGGCAGCAGGATGAGGGCTTCAGGAGAAACAAGATTTAAGTTGTGGGTGAGGTGCAGGGGGCTTGGCTGCAAAAGGATTTTAGAGGGACAAAAAAATGTGAAAGCTTGAATCAAAGCAGCTGAAAGATTGGCTTTAATATCTGCTTAGATCCAAAATAAATGTCTGTATGGATTAAGAGATAATCCACTAGATAGATTTAATCTGTCACATGTATTACTTCCTAAAAAAAAAAAAAGCATGGAGAGGAGAGGGTTGGTTTGGCTCAGTGCCCAGGATGTGAAGACAGGTGATGTGTCCTCCTTTTTTCCTCAGGCCCCTTTTCACTTGTCCTGAAGCATCCATCCTGCCTAACAGGGAAGGGGGGCGGGGGGTTTGTTGCTGGAGCCTCCTGCTTCTTTGCAACTCTGGAGTCACATTGAATCTAACTGCAGGAGTTTCTCAAGCAGAAAAGAGCACCGAGAGCAAAATAACACAGCAGTGACTAATAGGACGGGTGCAGGGTAGGCTCAGATGCTGATGGTGGTGTTGGCTGTCTGAGCACAGGGTTGTGAGAGGCAGTAATGGGCCATTTTATTAACACTTACCCCTCCTGTCCCCATTGGAATTGCCTTTCAAACAAACACCACTTGGTAACATACTCCTTCTTAAATGGAGGTTGAGGTCTGAATGACAGCTTACTTCAAATGCGTTGCTCCTGAAATCATTGGCAACAGCCCTCTCCATCCCTTCCTGTTTCCTTTTTACAAACACCAGTTGACTTAATGGAGTAAGTTCAGTTTCCACAGAAGTTGCTGGAGAACACTTGAATGCGAGGGGGTTTTCCATGTAGTTTTCCAGTATCATTACAGTACTTTGTCTCTTAACTAACACATGCAGCTCTCTCTTGAACTGCACATGCATAACACTCATGCACTTTTAGGAGCCTGTACATGTGATGGAATTTGGATTAGTTGGATTGAGGGGGTTTAATAATTTTTTTCATAGTTATCTAGTTCAGCAACAAATAAATTAATTCTGTAGACTGGTGTGTTTTCTTTCTGTGTTGTGGGCCTGCATCTGTACCACCTCAGGCGAAGATTTTTGGCAGCTCTCCTAAGGTCAGTGGGATTTGGCCTGTCAAATCCTAGCGTAGGAGATCACAGGAGGAAGTACCGTGTGCCTGGGAGAAGAGCCAACATCATTTGAAACACCTGAGCTGGCACTGGACAACTTCCCTGACTTGTGCCTGGAGCAGGCTGTCTGCCTGGTGTCATCATTTTATGGGTGAATGGAATATTTGGTGGGTAGGAGGGATGGATGAAGCTATAGATGCGTTCTCGCTTTCCCTTCTGGTTGTACTGTTGCTGTTGCAGCTAGGGCACAATAATTGCCAGCCATGTTCTGGTTTGAAAGAAGATTCCTTTTTAAGAGAGGTTCTGTCAAACCCTAAATGAGGAAGATGTGTGCAGTGCTGTGGGCTGAGAGGTGCTCCGCTGTCTGGTCTTCCCCTGACCCTGCCCACACACTATGGGAGGTGTTAATGCTGTAGAACCAAAAAGCACTTTGTAGTAGCCAACACGCTGCCTGCGCTTGGTGGGGATGTAAAGGGAGTTGAGGCACCAGTCCTCTCCTAAGTCTTGTGTCTGAGAGCACGAATGTTAGATGTGGAAGTGGTTAGAGGTGAAAGGTAAGGCTGATTAGGATTCCAGGACCCCTTTGCTTCTTCACAGCTAATGAAAGAGTGAATGTGGGAAGGGAAAGGAAGAGTCTGATACCTGGTGAAGCATTGGGAAATAAAGTGAGACAGGAAAGAGCATGAGGGAAGTGTTTGACTGCCTCTTTTCACCCACTCACAGTCATGGAGTGGAAGGGAGGAGAACAGTTACTGGTTTCCAGGACAGAACTTGCATAACTATTTGCTTCATACTTCCTTCTGGGAGAGAAATGTGTGCCTTGTCCACCCCTGATAATTTTTTCTGGAAATCAGTAGGGTGCTGGCTAAAAGGCAATTGATACTTTATTTTGGAGCTTCAGGAAGGCTTTGTTGAGTCCTTCTAGGAGAGGTGTCTACTCACTAGTGAGAGGGAAAATTGCATCATTGATTTGAGGGAGAGCAGTAAAGCAGAAATAAATGACCAATTTTTTCAACTTTGAAAGAAGTAAAAATAGTCAGATGCCCCCAGGAGCAGTACTGGAAATAGTGTCAATCAATGAAATTATGAAGCATCTAGAAAAGAGGTGAACTGTGAGGTGGGCAAATGTACTGGGGAAGGGCAGTTAGGGAAGATTTAGGTCCTTCAGATGCATCTCACACTTGAACAAAACAAGGCAAGGGGACAGCTCTTTGACACATGAAATTTGCTCTAGATGGGTGCTAGGAAATGAGCATTGAAAGGAACAACAGAAACTACTCTGAGAACCTATCAAGTGTGTAACTGATGTGGACTTAACTCCACAGAGACCAAGGGTGCAGGAAGGAGATCAGGAGCAGATTTCTACCTAGCGTTGGTACAAAATACAGGCTGTTAGGCTGTGTGTAAAGGGATGGGGAAACAGAATAATTCCGAGAGGGAGACTCTCATGAAGTTCAGTTTTGCTCATCTCTCACTCCAAAAAGAGTAATGTAGAAACAAGCTGCATGTTCTCCTTCCATGTGCGTAGGGAAGGATTTTCATGTCTCCAAGAAGCAGGGAACATAGCTATAATCAAACAGAAACACTTAAAGCTTTTTGGAGAAAGAAGTGGGGTTATTTCAGAAAGATAACAGCTTGTACTTGCTTCTTTTTCACCACCTACAGCGTTGAGGGGGGGAGTGAGACAGGCTTTAGTGGAGTCCATTTCTGTGCTGTAATGGGCTGCACCAAGTGAAAATACTTAGTTGAAAAGATGGGTTTGGTACAGTTTGAAAATGGGAATCATGGATCACTGCTGATGTCAAGTTTGTTACTGAAAGGAATTAGAGTGAGGAAAAAAAGGCATGGGAACTCTCAAAAGCAAACGGGCTTTTGGTAAAATTTAAAGATAGTACTTGAGAGTGATTTTTAGAGGCACGAAATGATCCGATGGAACTCGTTGCCACAAAACATTGCTGAAGTGGAGTGCTATCTCTCCCAATGGGTTGTGTAGCCATAAAAATACTCTTTGCTGGCTTCACTGAAAAGGGGAAGATTCACAACAATTTTCAGCTTTTGAGCTTGAAGTTAGAGAGAACCTGTGAGTTAGGTGTGAGGAAGGAAGGCGTCTTCTGAGAAGGTGCCTCTGTAGTTACTTGTAGATGGTGCATGGTCCTGATGTCCCTGCTAGCTTCTGCTTGAACCTGTGTGACAGTTCCTGCAGCATGGTAGCGACTGCACGACATGCTGGCAGTTTCAGTCGTGCCCCTGGCTGCAAGACATCTGCTGTAAGCCCTGTGGGAAAGGAGTATGTCACCATGGTGTACACAGAGGTACCTAACCAGTGACCACTATCCCCTGCTGCCACAGAGTCCTTTTCACCTCAGTCCCAAAGCATTTTGATACTGATCTAGTGTCGTGGTTTAACCCCAGCTGGCAGCTAAGCACCACACAGCCACTCACGCACTCCCTGCCCAGCAGGATGGGGGTGGAGAGAATTGGAAGGGTGAAAGTGAGAAAAGTCATGGGTTGAGATAAGAACAGTTTAATAATTTAATGATGGTAATAATAGTAATTAAAAGGAAAATAACAAAAAAAAAAGAGAAAAGACAAGTGATACAAATTAAAACAATTGCTCACCACCAGCTGACCGGTGCCCAGCCAGTCCCCAAGCACTGGACTTTGGCCAGCTTTCCCCCTAGTTTATATGCTGAGCTTGATGTCATGTAGTGTGGAATACCCCGTGCCTTGCACATGCGTTTCATTTTTAACAAGTCATTTTTATTAAGAATATGTTGGCAGTCTCTAACTGGCTGTGGCTCTCTTGTCAGCAGTACCTGCAGAGAGGCACAGGGCTTATGGCACTCTGGTGTCACCATAAAGCTGCAGTTGTCCGTCTCTCTATGTCCATCTCCATTCCACTGAGGTGCATATTCTCCACAGAGTGCCTGGGCACTGGCTGTTGCCAAAAAATCTCTGGCTCTGGATTCTTCATCTGAAGAAAGGTGCTTGCCTCCTAGGATCTCTCAGCGGGTGGAGACCAGCCGGGCACAGCTTCAGGCAATTGGTGAGAGAGTGACACTGGCCCAAGCGAAGATTGAGAAGATAAAGGGCAGCAAGAAGGCTATTAAGGTAGTGATGTCAGTGAAGGCGGCATGGCCTTACTTCTTCCTTCCACCTTCTCTCTTTACTCCTGGTGTCAGCTCTGGAGAAGATCAGGTGCTGAGCTGCTGCAGCTGCTGCCCGCACACCTCTCCATCCCTTGCTGCTGAGCAGGGTTCCGATGAGAGTACTCTTCCTGACTCATCCGGTTGATGATTTGTATACCTGTGAGCCACACAGCTCCTGGCCTTATGAGGCCCATGTGAGTTGCTGCCTCAGCCTCTCCCTGAGAAAGAGAAAAGACATGTGCTGGGCTAAGCCCAACACCCTCTCACTTCTGGCTCATAGACACTTTGGCAGTTTGAATGAAAGCTACTGTTAGAGAGCCTCCCCTAGTGTATCTTAATCTTGTTGAGCCATTTAGTACAGTGTTTCAAGTTCCTTTCCTGCCAGTGGGAAACCTGTGATCTCCAGAGACAGTCCATGCATGATTTGGCCCATACAGGTAGCTCTTAGGAGCCTCAACTCCAAGGCTGTCCATTCCTACCAAGAGCACAGGTTGTGTGCTTACCCTACTCTGTCTGTTTCTGTAGCGTAGGATTGCCTAGTTGCTGGGATTTTTCAGTCTCTCCTTGTCTCTCCACAGGTATTTTCCAGTGCCAAGTATCCAGCCCCTGAACGGCTGCAGGAGTACAGTTCAATTTTTGCTGGTGCAGAAGACCCAGCTAAACAGAAATGGCCAAGACACAGGATTCAGAGCAAACACCGAGTGCTGGATGAGAAGGCTCTGCAGGTAAGGAGGAGAACATCCCATGAGATGAACAAGCAAAGAGAAGCTGGGAGGCTGTCAGTCTTTTTGATGGGGTAGATCAGGGCTTTAGGATATAGGCTGGGAGCAAAACATCTTTTCAGCTTGGCCTGTTGGTGGGGGTACGTGAGGTCAGGCTGGGAAGCCTGCGGAGCTGCCAGCTGGAGAGGGCCGTGTCACTGCGAGACCTTGGTGGGTGGTTGAGTGCTCTGGGTGGCTGTTGGCTGCCAGCCCTCCGGAGCGAGCAGCTCCATCTCCTGAAATGCCGCCAGTCCCCGCGGCCGTGCCGCTGGTGCTGCTGGCTGGCCTCAGGCTTCGGCTGGGCACAGCAAGGCAGCTGGGATCAGGGTCAGAATTCTTTGAAAAATAGTTTCTGATGGCTCTAATGGAAGCAGTGGTGAGAAGGGAAAGGTAAATGCTTGCGAGTGTGTCGGGAGGGAAAGGAGTCATTAGAGTACTTCTCTGTCCCAGGAAAGTGTTGCACTTGGGTATTGTCCCTCCCTGGTTCCCAGCTAAGTTTTAGGTCTTGTTGGAGAAGATAATTTTGCTTCTTCACATGTTTTGTTTGTGCTTTGCTTCTCCTTTGTGTTGTGTGAGCCCTTCAAAGCAGCTGAATCTCTCAGTACCCATCACAGTTGGGGCTTCCAAGTGTGTGCCCATAGCACTGATGTCTACAGCCGGTGGTGTTGAAGGAGGTCCTGCAGTATTGTGTTCCATTTCAGCCAGTGCACTGAACAGCAGAGAAGGGCTTGTAAGGGAGTTCTGAGAAGTGCTGGGTTTGGAAGGAAGTACTACCAAAGGATTCTCCAACAATTTGGGTCACCATCCCCAGAGGTTGGAAGGACAGGAGGAAGAGTTGCTGTGCTTGAAGTTCAAAAGTTGCTGCGTGTGTGCTGTGCCAGGAGTAGCAGATGTGCTGTTCCTGCCACGTTAGGGATCAACCTGACAACTTCCCTGCTTTCCACCCCTAAGGAGCCTTTATTGCTCACCCTTGTGTGCCTTGGCCCAAAAATAAAGCTGGCACTGAATAATTGATCACAGTAAACTTTCCTGAGTTTTAATGGAATTGAGACCTCAGGCAGCAGGGTGGTTATGAATATTTCAGCCAGGCCAAAGAAGCAGGATTGCTGGTTGAATGGACAGCTGGCAAACTCAAGCAAGGTTCATGCTTCCTTTGAGCCCTGGCAGTGGCACAGGGCAGAGCTGTGTGGGACCTGCTGCTGGCCAGCCAGAGGAGGCTGATTACAGTTGTGCTACCTGGCTGGTGGCCCCATCTCATCCGAGCAAGCGGGGAGCAGAGGTAGGCAGTGACTGGACAGGGAAGATGCTCGCCCCCCCTGAAGGTCTGGTGCCAATGTACAGACTCTCACACAGGGAGGGGATTGAGAAGAGCATCAGTTGCTAAAAGCAAAGACCAAAGGGTGTGCCTATCTGACTGGCCCACTGGCTCCAGTGGGCTCTGCGCACCCTTCCCCACGGCCTCTGCCGTCTGCCTGCCATGCCTCCTCTTCCCTGTCCCGGGCCACCTCTGTACCATTGCCACATTCTGCCCTCTGTGACCAAGAGGACTTTGTTGCTGGCCCAAAGGGATGTTTGTATCTGTTCCTTCCTTCCTGTGACCCATCTTTTGGCCCTCCCTTGGGGTTGTTGATCTTTCTCTGGCTTTGCTGACCCTGCCTCATGCAGCAGTCTTGTTACTCTCGCCGAGCTCACGCATGCATGAGCAGCTGGTGTGCTGAGTGGGGCTTGGTGACCACGTTCTGGGGGACAGGCCCTCCTCAGCCGTGGCTGAGCACGGCGCCTGATGTGCCTTGCAGTAACGAAAAGCGACAGAGGGAAATCTAATGTTTGCCTTTATGCCTTCCTCAATTATTCAGGGCTTTCAGCAAAGGCTCACTGCCTGTTTTCACTTCTAATGAGGGCCTCTTTGCTGGGAGCAGTCACGGTAGCCTTTGCTAACTTTGCAGACATGCCCCACCAGGAAAGAAAGCTCTCCTCCTGTCAGTTTGAGGGTGAGCGGTGGCAGCCTGTGTTCAGCGCTTAGGGTTTGTGCTCTGGGGAGGAGGCAGCTGAGCTGGAAATTGCATGGTTCTGCAGTTTTATCTGGGAAATGTTTATTTCTGGGAAATGTTCCTTTCCCTCTCCACACCCCATGCAAGTGAAAACTCAGCTGTTGAGAGGACACCATTTAGCTTTGTAAGGTAAGCACTGATGAGGAAGAGTGCCACAAACTGTGTCCTTGTGGAAAGCCTGGAAAGCGGCTTGCTCTGCACGTTGCTGTGGTGGCAGCTAAGCAGGGCTGAACAGTGAGTTGGCCGCAGCCCTGTGGAGCTTCTCAGGCACTGGGCACTGCCTTTGCAGTGGGACCTGTGTCTGGGTGCTGCATGTGCCCCTCAGGAGGCTGGAAAACAAGGTGGGAGATGTGGTCTACCTGGACTTGGGAAGAGGTCCAAACAAAAGTTACAGTCCACTGATGGAGTAACCTTGCAAGGCTTCAAAACTGTCAGAAACTTGGCACGTCCTTGTGGATTCTGCCTCTACCAAGGGCATGAGGAGGCTGAACTGGGTTTTTGGCACTTGCTAATCCTCAAGTGCTTTTTCAGCTAGCCTCAGCACGTCATGACATGGGAGCAATGGAGTTTCTGGTTTGTCAACCCAATTCTCTTTGTAAGAGTGTGTGCTTAATTAAAGTTAGGAACTGGGGTGACTTTGTATCTTTTTAACTGTAGGCTTAGGCTGTTAGGGACAAAAATGCTTGGAAGTGCAGCATCCTTAGGGATCTGATCCTGCCAGGTGCCAAACCCCAGGTAGGGGAATTTGAGCATTCAAGCACCCCTCTATGAATTCAGTGTGCTGAGGCTGCTG